AATGGCCCTTTGAAGCTGGCGATTTTTTGTAGGACTCATACAATACCCCCACACAATATGAAAAATCATCAAGCCATTAGCCGCCCCGGAACTACCCCTCCAGCCCCCCCAAAGTTTTACCCTTATTATATAAAAATTCAGAAAAAATCGTTACAATGGCCCTTTGAAGCTGGCGATTTTTTGTAGGACTCATACAATACCCCCACACAATATGAAAAATCATCAAGCCATTAGCCGCCCCGGAACTACCCCTCCAGCCCCCCCAAAGTTTTACCCTTATTATATAAAAATTCAGAAAAAATCGTTACAATGGCCCTTTGAAGCTGGCGATTTTTTGTAGGACTCATACAATACCCCCACACAATATGAAAAATCATCAAGCCATTAGCCGCCCCGGAACTACCCCTCCAGCCCCCCCAAAGTTTTACCCTTATTATATAAAAATTCAGAAAAAATCGTTACAATGGCCCTTTGAAGCTGGCGATTTTTTGTAGGACTCATACAATACCCCCACACAATATGAAAAATCATCAAGCCATTAGCCGCCCCGGAACTACCCCTCCAGCCCCCCCAAAGTTTTACCCTTATTATATAAAAATTCAGAAAAAATCGTTACAATGGCCCTTTGAAGCTGGCGATTTTTTGTAGGACTCATACAATACCCCCACACAATATGAAAAATCATCAAGCCATTAGCCGCCCCGGAACTACCCCTCCAGCCCCCCCAAAGTTTTACCCTTATTATATAAAAATTCAGAAAAAATCGTTACAATGGCCCTTTGAAGCTGGCGATTTTTTGTAGGACTCATACAATACCCCCACACAATATGAAAAATCATCAAGCCATTAGCCGCCCCGGAACTACCCCTCCAGCCCCCCCAAAGTTTTACCCTTATTATATAAAAATTCAGAAAAAATCGTTACAATGGCCCTTTGAAGCTGGCGATTTTTTGTAGGACTCATCCACTACCCCTACACAATATAAAAAATCACCAAGCCATTAGCTGCCCCTGAACTACCCCTCCAGCCACCCCAAAGTTTTACCCTTATTATATAAAAATTCAGAAAAAATCGTTACAATGGCCCTTTGAAGCTGGCGATTTTTTGTAGGACTCATACAATACCCCCACACAATATAGAAAATCATCAAGCCATTAGCTGCCCCGGAACTTCCCCTTCAGCCACCCCAAAGTTTTACTCTTATTATATAAAAATTCAGAAAAAATCGTTACAATGGCCCTTTGAAGCTGGCGATTTTTTGTAGGACTCATACAATACCCCCACACAATATAGAAAATCATCAAGCCATTAGCTGCCCCGGAACTTCCCCTTCAGCCACCCCAAAGTTTTACTCTTATTATATAAAAATTCAGAAAAAATCGTTACAATGGCCCTTTGAAGCTGGCGATTTTTTGTAGGACTCATACAATACCCCCACACAATATAGAAAATCATCAAGCCATTAGCTGCCCCGGAACTTCCCCTTCAGCCACCCCAAAGTTTTACTCTTATTATATAAAAATTCAGAAAAAATCGTTACAATGGCCCTTTGAAGCTGGCGATTTTTTGTAGGACTCATACAATACCCCCACACAATATAGAAAATCATCAAGCCATTAGCTGCCCCGGAACTTCCCCTTCAGCCACCCCAAAGTTTTACTCTTATTATATAAAAATTCAGAAAAAATCGTTACAATGGCCCTTTGAAGCTGGCGATTTTTTGTAGGACTCATACAATACCTCTACATAATTTAAAAAATCACCAAGGCATTAGCTGCCCCTGAACTACCCCTCCAGCCACCCCAAAGTTTTTTATATTGTGTGGGGGTATTGTATGAGTCTTATAAAAAATCGCCAGCTTCAAAGGGCCCTTGGAAGGATTTTATCTTAAATTTTTTTTTCCAAGTGTAAGTTTTTGGGGTGGCTGGAGGGGTGGTTTTTGTGTTTTGAGGAGCTAATATATCATTTTTAGGGCTCATTGTCTCTATTCGAAACTGAAAAACCATTTTCAGTTTCAGGAGCAAAAAAAATTTTTTTTTGATTTTCGTTCATAAATGAACGTTCGGAACTTCAGGTACATGAAAGGAAATATGTTTCCTGAACATTTGAAGTTCGTTAATTGAAGTATGAAAATATTATCGACATGTTATCGTTTTTGTAAGTATTCACAAATTTTTAAATATGTACATGATGTATTAATTAATACTGTAATGTTACGGTTGCGCAATAAGTAATGCTGTACTATATTGTAACTCTAAAAATAAAACTCATAAAAACTAAAAGTTGATTACTTTTAAATTAATAGAATTATTTGCCAGTGTAACGTTAAAAACCCATAGAATAAAATATATAATCACTGAATCTAAAATTAAAAAAGTAAGCATGTTTCATGACCATTTGTTATTTAGAGTGTAGAATATAAAATGTAGAATATATAATTTATAATGTATAAGCAAAAAATCTAGCAGACGGTTGTAAACATTTCGAGAAGACTGTTTTTTATGAGGGATTTTAGTTGCCGTTGGCACTCACCTAAACGTCCCCGTCTACGATCTAGTCCTCCGTAATTCTGAATTCACTCCGGTCCTCCGTCTCCAGCTCCAGAGCCAGTACGTGGGTGGTCACGAACCAAGCGGAACTCTCAGGGGATACCTCACTTTGCACTTACGATAACTGAGGACACTACATATTTTAAATCGATTCGATTACCTATGGTTTGTATATTTATGGACTCACATATAATACTCTATCAGAATTGATAGTTAGATTTAGGAAATTAATTTCTTTTAATAAAATTTATTCGGTTAAAAATCAAAAAAACGGTAAGATGTCCGCTGATTTAAGTATAGTTGTAAGTACGACTGTATTTTAGTCGCCTAAAACTGCTCATACCTTAATCTTTATTTTTTTTTACACTCTATTTTAAAATTCATAGCTGTATCTGATAATACAATCATATTTGAACAATAGTAACTAAAAACAAAAAATTGTGATACTGTAATTCACAAAAATCCAATAATCTATATTATTAAGAGAATAAGCAAAATTTTGTGGCCAGCATATTTATATGATAAAATGGGTTTTTATGGTTAAATTTAGTATTGTTGGAAGTCTTGACCTGGAGTTGTGCCTTTTCATGGTTTCATATTATTCTCACCAATAGTCAAATTATGATTTATCTCTAGATACATAATTAAGAAATGACCTTGTATCTTGTGAACTATTGACATTTTTAAAGATATAAGCTCACCCCGACATTACACTTATCGAGACCTTTCATTTGAGTACCCACATCAATTTTTTATAGATTTATATATATATTATATATATATATATATGTATATATGAAAAATATATTAAAATGCATGTGGGTACTCAAATGAAAGCTTTTGATGACTGTAACATCGGGATGATCTTATATCGTTAAGAACGTCAATAGTTCAGTGAAATAAAGTACATCAGTGCATTTTAACAAAAGTCGTTCTTTAATAAAGCAAAATTTTATTTATTTATAGTTTATAAATCACGGCGGTCACATAGTGACTGCAAGGTTGCTACACAGAAAGAAAATTTTCTTGACTGGAGAACAAAATTCTTGGCTCAAGAAAATTTTCGGATGCCTCAAGGAAGACCGAAGTTATGTTGGCCGAAGTAAAAATTATTCTTTAAATTCTATTCTCGGTGGAAGTCATTTTTTCTTAATTCAAATTATCATAAATACTTGATACAATAAATTTTTATATTTGGTCAAGATTTTTAAATACTTTAGGGAAGCAGCGCCACTTACTTCAGTTAAGAAAAAAAATTTTCTCACCTTGAGAAAATTTTTCTCTTGAATATTTGATACCTATTTTATATTATTTTAGCGTGCAATTATACATTATTGAATGAAAAAAAATGATTCAATATTATTTAATTTTTCCAATTGACATGTTAATCAATAAAAACATTAATGAAAATTTACTTCTATCGAGAAATTTAATTTTTTAGAGCAAGAGGCTGAATTTTTTCAAAACAAGAAGATTTTCTTGATTTAAATAAATTTTCTTGGATCAAGATACGTATTTCTTAAAGCAAGAGAATTAATTTTGTTGGAATAAGTGAAATTTTTTGTCAATAAAAAATTTTTTTTTTCGCCCAAGAAAATAATTAGAAAGAAAAATATTTTTCTTTGCTCAAGTGAACCTTTTTATCTGTGTAATAATTGTCATAATTTTCATAGTCAGAAGATTAAAACGTTTAATATTTTGAAGCAGAAAGTCAAAAAATATAAAATCAAATTTTTTTTTTTATAATCGCTCATTTAGCTTTAAAAATTTTTTCCTTCAAGTCCAAAGGACATATGTTAAAAAAAATTTTTTTTTTCTCATTTTTCCCAATTATTTATCTATTGTAAAAATTTTAAAGTTGATTAAAAAAAGTAATAAAATTTTAGACTCCTTTTTTTTTGGCATTGATAACGCAATATGTATATACATATATATTTATATATAATTAATAAATGAAGTTTTTAAAAGATTATATGCTCTACAAACCATGACAAGATGTACCATATCAATACATTATGTACCGTAAAGTTAACAATACATTATGTACCGTAAAGTTAAACTTATCCATTAGCAATCAGCAGACCTTTCAAAAAATAATTACCTTCATTCACCTGAACATTATATTTATCTACATGTTAAAGATCTCTATTATTCATTCTACAATACAAGTTTTTTCAATTTATGATTCATGTCTTCTTTTAATAACTTCCTCAGTCGATTGCAGCAACAATTGAATCAAGATTAATTTTTAATTACGCGTTCATTTTTATTCTTTTCTTCAATACTAATGGGTCAGCCGTTTACAAGTACTTACAACTGCTGATTACCGTTTATTTAATTATTGTTATACTTATTATTATATACTCACCAGAGAAATTGCGCATAATTTACTTTGTCTGCAAGCGTTCTTGTTGATTCCTCTTTCACCGACTGACAACCGACGCGAAGTATCACAAGATGGCGGCACAAGTTCTACTTCTACTCAACTGCGCACTTCTTCCACGATTCTCGCGCATGTGCAGTAGTTTTCCTTGCAGAGCTCAGCTTATTGATAGCAAAGACCAGCAAAGACACAGCAAATTTACAGGTGTTGAATTATTGTGAGTAAAATAAATAATATTTGTCATAGTTAGTCATTTTTTATGTTAATTTAATTATTTTTTATATTTTTAGATAATTTCAAGATGATTGCCAGACAGTTGATTGCCAAACAGATCAGAAATTTTACCACAAGTGCTATCCGTCGCTCTGGCCATGGCGATCCTGGAGGTTACCCAGGTGCTGTACGTAATTGCATAACTTTTTATTGTTGAAATATTTTATTTTTATAATTATAATTGTATACTATGAAAATTAAGTTAGCCGACATTTAAATATTTTTAGAATTTTTTTTTAATGAAAAAATTATAACAACAAAAAAAATTTTCATTTTTCAAAAAGTCAAAAACGTCGGCTAACTTTAGTATTACTATCGGCAACTTTAGGTTGTTTTTTATTTTTGATAATGTTTATATTTTATAACGACAGTCTAATTAGCAATTGCTCTAACTTCTTATTTTGTAGAGGGTGATTTTTTGATAATTCGATGTAACAATAGTCCAATTATAAATTATTTGAATGATTCAAACTAAAATATTATGCCTCTATTAAATATTAAATGGTTTTTTTGAAGTGAGAATAAATTGTTAATTATTTGTTTTTTCGAAGCTTGTAAATTTATAGGCGTATCTCATGTTTTTTTTTTAAATTTTCAATTGTGCAATATTTAATTTTTTTATTATTTTACTGAAATTAAAATTTTAAAAAAATCAGAAGTCTAAATTTTGAAAAATATTTTTCCTTATCATTGCAGAGAGAATAAAATTTCAAACCATAGAAATTACAAAAATTAAGATTAGATTTTTGAAAATTAATGTCACGTTTACAAACAAATTATTTGTGTAAAAAAATATTAAAATAACAAAATTTCTGTTTCGGGCTATAAAAATTTTTCACCTTAGAATTTTTTAATTGCAAATATCTGATAAATTTTATGCAAACATTTTCTCTAGTTAAAATTATTAAAAATACATACTATTTATAATTTTCATTCAAAAGTGTTAATTTAAAAATTTTTTCCACTCAATATTTTTTAAATATTTTGTTATGTTCATTGTTTCATGTTCGTTACATTTGCTTATTGCTATTTATTAATTATGTAATAATTTTCCCAGAACTTGCCGTTCAGTATCCACAACAGATTCAAGCTGACAGCTTATTTTATTATCTTCTTTGGCAGCGGATTAGCTTTACCATTCATTGTAGTCCGTCACCAAATGTTGAAGTAAATTTGTAAGTTGCCCCCTTTTTTTTTTTTCTAGTACTATTTACCAATAATTATAAATGATTAATAATTACATCCAGTAAAAAAATTACTATTAGTATCAGTAAAGACTTGGATGTCTAAAAATTCAATGATTAAAAAAAAAAAGTTGAAAATTTTTTTAATTATTTTTTTATTCTATTTTTTATAACTATTATTTGATATCTTTTAATTATTATTTAATTCTATTGAAAAAAAAAAATGTTTATTATCTTTTCTATAAAAATGAAGTTAACATAAATATTATCATAAATTGCGTAAAAAAATTTTGAAAAACAAGTTAGAATTTTCATCATTTATTTTTCAATAAATTTTCTGTTTATTTATTGAATGAATAAAAAACTTTAAACAGTAAAATGCTCTAAAATTAGACAAAATAGTAAAATTAATATCCGTATAAAGAATTGAATTTTATTTCTGATCTCAAATAAAAATTTTTTTCTAGTATTAATCAATTGATGTGATTTTTAATTATTCTTATCAGAGTATTAATAAAGATAATTAACAAATACTTATTTATGTTTCAGATAATATTTGCTGGAGTAGTTAATTGAAATTTAAAAAAATAATTCAAACCATTTAAATGTATTAAAAATTCTAGCAATAAAATCTTCATCTCTTATAAACATAACTATATATAAATTATTGTATATTTATTAAATAATCATAATAATACATTAATACTCGTAAAATAAAATTCCTTAGGATAAGTAAATTATTGCTTAGAAGTATTGAATCCTTAATCATTTAATCTAAACCAGTAATTCATTGTTTTTGTGGTATTTTTGTATCTTTTTTTTTTTTTATTTATCAAAATCTGGGTACGGTACTGGAGGTCTATGATTTTTTTTTGAGCCATCTGTCAAAAAAAAATCCATTAATATGTAATTTTAAATTATCAATAAAATATTAAATAATTCGTTATTAAAGAACTTACAATTTTGTAAATTTAATTTTTTACACTCAAGACAATCGATACTATCAGAATCAGCGCAAGTTAAAGTTTCTTTTCTTTTTGCTTCAATTTTAGTTTTTTTTCTTTTCGGAAATACCTGAAATTAGAAAATACAAATCATTTTTTAAAAAAAATTTAGCTTCATCATTAAATTAAATATTTTAAAAATAAAAAATATAAAGCGACTTTAAAATCGATAAATAATTTTTAAACTTAATTTTATATTCTTAATTTCAATAAAAAATAATAATTTAATCAATAAATAAAAAAAATTTCTATTTTAATATTTATAATATAAATTTTTCAGAATGAAGTTAAATGCGCGCTTAAAAAACATGCGCGCGCACGTGACTTTAATATGGCCGTATGAAGTCAAAACCGTCACGCGGAAAATTTTTCTCCATAATTTTTCCATTTTATGAGTAAATATCGCGTTGTTTAATTAAAGTAATTATATAAATTCGTTCTATAGGTACTTATCAATCATTCAAGTAATAAATTTATAAAATTTATCGTTTTTAACTAAAAAAGACCTAGTCCAAAAACTGAGTAGGTCGGTTGACAACAAATTTGGCGTTATTCAGTAGACATTTTGAGTGAGCTAGTTCATTTAAAAAAATAATCAACGAAGCTATTGTCACAAAAGAGCGCGTGAAAATTACAAGTAAGTGTTTAAAATTGAAAATTATAGAAATTTGTTAAAATTTGATGATACTAAAATCCGGAAACACTTAAAAATTTTCTAAATTCTGTTAACAAATAAATTCGTTATAAATAATTATTTTAAAAAAATTGCATTAATAGTTTTTTAAAATTTCTATGAGTGGAATTTTTCTTTTAAAGTTTTTAGTCATAATTAATTAGATAAAAATAATAAAAAGTCTCTTAAAATCATTATGATAAAATTTCTTAATATTTAAATCAGGAGACAGCTGATTATTTTTTGATTTCAAAAAAATTTAGCTATAATTTTATAATTTTTAAGAGATTTTTTTTTCTTGTTAAAATAAAATTGTATAATTGGAAAATCAGCTTTTTATGGAATGAAAATTGAGTTAAAAAATTTTTTTCAGTCATGAAATTTTCTTTTGTAAAAAAAGAAACTTACATCAACACCATAAACAAAAGGTCGTTCATTTTTCCCATTTTTATAATCAACTTTTTTCCTCCAAGTACGATCTTCGTTATTCCGAGAGCTAATTAACGGCTTCCGTGATTCGTTGTTAATTATCAAACATTTATCCCTGTCTTTGTCTTTCCGTACGCAGGATATTGTTATGCAAAGAATCAGCCCGATAACCAAAACAATCATAACTACGGAAAAAGTACCCAGAGTTATTGGCGAAGTCCATAGCTAAAAATAAATTTCGTTCATAAAAATCAGTAAAAACTCAAAAATCATCCGTGTAAATCAAATAAATTATTACCATATCATAACAGCCATCAATAAACGGGTTAGTACATAACCTACAAACTCTAGACCCTAAATTAGGTTGGTAGGATCCTACTGGACACCTCTGACATTGCGGTGATAAATCTTGGCTGTGAAACCCTGGTGAGCAAGGAACTAAGAGCAATAATTAACAATGATCAATTTTTCATCAAGAAGAAGTTATTTATTAAAGATAAACTTGAAAAGTTACCACAATTAATAGAACTAAGCCCATAACCTGCAGGGCAGCCAACAAGAAGCCCGACGCCAGCGCCGCGGGCAAAAACTTCATGATGATCTTTTTTTCTTTGGAATCTTGCTCTGGAAATGGGCTCCAATATTTGGCGTCCCCCTTGGGACAATCTAAAAACAACTGTCGTTAAAACTCCAACAAAGACTGTCTGGAACAAATGCAAAAACTTGGCAACTGTGAAATACTACTCACTGTTTTTAGTCAAGATGGTGCTGAGATTTTGACTCAGCAACAAAATCAGTTTGTCTTGGATAGCTTTGTGGCACCTGAGACCACACTTGGACAAAAACGGCACAGTCTTGGACAAAGAAGAAAGAGTAACCAGGACTTTGATCGTAGCTTCGTGGTCGTTACACTGCGGAGCGAAGATAAACGTGTCACAAAGATGGCGCTTGCATAAAATTCCATTAAACTTCTGGGGCAAATAAGTCGCTAGAATCTCTAAAGCTTCTTCATCACAGTTACCAACCCGGTAGCGGTTACCACCGCGTAAAGAGTAGCGCGGAAGCGTGACTACTTGAATGCCATGTTTGTAGATGTGCTTGACTACCTCTTCGTTGTCTGGATCCACGTAGGTTAGAGTACAAGAGTAGTTTCCTGCATCTTGGATACTCAGACTATTGAGTTCTAGGTTCCCGTTCTTATGAACCGTCCCTAAAATAGTTAAAAATTACTTAGGAACAGAACCAAAGAAGCTGAACAACTTACCAGAGACAGGAATGTCATCTTGTCGAGTCCAAGTGTAGTTAGGCTTGCTGATACTGAGCATCCAGTTGAACCCACCCTCTCTGTTGCAAGGAATCACTAAATCTACGCCCGGGAAAGACAGAATCTCGTGGTCTGAAACAAGAAAATAAGCCAACAAACCTTAAGTTAACCTCAGAATTTACTAACCGCGGCCTACGCCTTCTCCAGCCTGCAAAACTTTCTCCAAGTCCGTCAGCTGGATGTACTTGAGCCCCTTGGCCTGCGCGAGGCTCTTCTGCGCAGGATAAATCTCCTCAATGACCCTAGATGGCGCAAGCTCTAGTTTGTCCCCCACGTCTACAAACTTCTTACACTTGAAACTCGCGATTCTGTCCAGCAGGTTGTGTCTCTCAGAGACCATGCTCTTGAAGGTCAGAATGCTAGCTTCCAGGTCACAGATGCAATTCACGCAATCGACATCATTGTTAGTCTGAAGATTTCTCCTACGAGACCTCTGCTTGATGTTCTGCTTGTTACTCCGTTCTTTCCTATCCTCTTTGGGCTGTTTGTCCTTGAACTTTATTTTGACATTCCTAATCTTGACTTCAGTCTCTTCCGTGTTATCAAAATGATCATCTTCGTCGTAGTCATACGCTACGGAAAGAATCTTTCGTTTTTGAAACCCTGCTAGGTTTCTTTTCTTCCTTTTGGTATCCTCCTTCAGAATCTGCTCGATATCATTTCTCAATTCCTCCATATGACCTGCGTCATATCTAGACTTTAACTTCTTCTTATGACCAACGCTCTTTTTAGCTTTCTTCTTTGGAGCTTTTTTCTTAACTTTCTTGGCAGATTTTTTTGCCAGCCTTCGATCACGCATGGAATCAAAATCTGATGGAGAAGCTAGCCTTCGTTTTATTATCTGCAGAGTGGTGTTAACTCCACGTTGGACATCAAAAATCTGATCAATCAGCGCCTTCATTAGCTTCTTATCCTTCTGGTTGTCGAAGTAAACGCCCTCTAGCAATGAACTGGCGTCATGTCTTTTGCGTCTGAAGCTTTTGATAGCTTGCCTTGGACTGTTGTGCATCGCGTACATTATTTTGAACTTCTCTCCTAGTTTGTCGATCCTCCTAACAGGCTCGTCAAAACTGGGACTATCATACTCTACGTTTTTCTTCAAGTCTTTCATTTTCTCAGACTCCATGCGTTTTTCTAACTCTGACAGCAATCTATGCCTAAGTTTCCGAACGATTTCATTCCGCTGGACTTCTCTGATCCAATTGTTGCGTTTCTTGCCAAAGTCATCCTCTAAATTCATTTTTCTAGCAGATTTTCCGACTAATCGTGAAACTAAATTCTTATCTGAGCGCTTTAAGTACTTGGCGTCAGAATCGGCGTTCATATCCGATATGTCGATGGTAAACTCGGAATCTGAACTATCAAAATCTTCAGGATCTCTATAAGCAGATGAACCTTTGACAACTTTCACTCTCAAACGTGGATCCAATTCCCGAAGAGATCTGGAAGACCCTTCAATAGATTTCACCACTCGGTCAGCAAAGCTGGAGATCAGACGGTTCAGATTCTTGTCCTTGTACAAGTCTTCGAAATCCAAGTCACTGAGGGCTGATTTACGATGTCTCTTTGATTTGACCCCGTGACTGCAGTTCCCGGAGTTCTTTATTCTAGTCACATAGATCAAGATCTTCTCAGTGACTCCAAGCTTGCTGCTATCAAAACGACGGGGTACTCCTGCATGAACTTTCTTCTCGTCGTTGTGATGATCATGATTATTCTTACGCAATTCCGGTTCTTCCAACTCTCTAACTTCTCTAGATCTCACGTCCTTCGGATCAATTTTCACCCATAATTTCTGGTATTTATGCTTCTGCCGAGGCTTTTTGGCCACGGATTTACGAAACAGAATTCTGTGTTTTGGGGTCTTACTTTTTTTCCGTCCATGTAATTTAGAAGACACGTGATAAGCTTTTGTCCGATATGGCTTTGGTTTGAAAGACTGTTTGGCAACTCGTACAGGTGGAGAAGTTGCATCGTTGCCTATCATGTGATTGAAGGCTTGCTTGATGTTATCCAAGATGCTGCGCTTAGCAGATTTCTGACTCCCCAATTTCTTCTTTTTGCCAACCGATTTCTTCAACTTGTGTTTGTTTTCTTTTTTCGATACCCGGTGTGTTGAAGTCTTCTTCAATGTTTTGCCAGCAGATCTAGATTTTACCGGCCCATGATTAACCGCAAGAAGATGTCTTCGTGGTACAGAATCGCCATTTTGTGAAAAGCCGTATTTGTAGATGCAATAGAACTCTGATGGTGACATCAGCTCATTCGACTCTTCTAATTCTGGGCCGTCTAGTTTTAGAATTGAGATACTATCGTCACCAGACTGGTAACTTTTGCTAGCACGATAGTTTTTAGAAGTTTCCAAGCATCTTTTCAGAGCATCTACTGAAAACTCCGTAGAAGTTTCGGTCTTAAAAATATTGAACTCTTTCATGGTTTCCTTCAACAAGTCACGATCATCTGAACTGTTTGGCCCAAATTTAAACTTCCAGCTGTTCTTACCCGATAGAACCGACTTTTCGAGCTGCCGTTCCAAATTTTTTCTCAAATTATCTACGAATCCATCACGCAGTTCAGATCTACGTTTCTCAACTCTAACCGGGACACAAGGAGCAGGAATTTCCTTATGCCAAGACTGAGTATCTCCAATGTGATACTTGTCTGGAGCTTCAGTCGGCCAAGGCATTGAAGCAGTTTGTCCGCAAGGTGGACACATAGTTGACGAAGTCGTCGATTCTTCAATGGTCTCAGTAGTTGATTCTGTGGTGCTTGGAATAGTTTCTTGTGAAGTAACTAGACCTTCATCGATTACCAAATCTTCTTGACTTGGACTCACTAGTTTCACTCTGTGACCTTCTAAGTCATCGTCATAGACTAGATGGACCACATGCACAGTATAACTGGACTTGCGTGTTACGTAGTTTTTAGTATCATTGGTTGCAGTTGCTGGGAAGCTGCTCAATCTTGTTGGCGATGACATTGGAGTTGTGGAAATACCAAAGGTTCCAGAAATATTGAAAGTGTTAGAAGTCTTAAAAACACCAACCGTATTGGAACTCTCAAAAACATGAGAAGAGTTGGAAGTCTTAAAAACACCAGAAGTACTATCACTGTCAGTAACAAGAGAACTATTCAAAGTCCCGGTAACAAACGAACTAGATGTTCCGTTTAAACCAATGTCACGCTTAGCCCGTTTTCGCATTGCATTACTTAGAATAGAAGACTTCACCCGACGCAATTCATGCTTCGATATTTGCAATGCTTCTTGAATTTGCTTTAACAACTGCTCCTTCTTGATCAATTCGTCGTTCTCATCTTCCAGCATGGCAATCTCTGCTTTCTTGAGATTTACTCTAGAATCATGCTTCCTGGACTTCTTCGCTCGTTGAGTAATGATTGGTTCAGGTTCATAATCATCATCACTGTAATCATCTTCATCACAATCTCCGTAGTAATCATCATTCCGTTTCTGTCTTCGGTAATCTGGTTTTTTGTCAACAGAAATAGTCGGCTGAGTTGGTCCGCTTTCCGGTTCACGATTTCGTCGGTTTTCAAAATCACCGACCATCTTACTCATTTCTTGATAGGATTGCTTGGTTACATGCTTGCGCGGCGTAAAGCTTTTCTGAGGAACTTTGTACCACTGCTGATAGACTCGAGTGTAACCTTGAATGAAGTTCCTTGGTATGACTGGCTCAGGAAGATTTTGGTCTTGGTCTTGGTTAACCCATTCGTTATCTTTGAGCACAAAGGATGGAACAGTCAGTTTAATCGTTTTGTCCTTAAGATCAGAACCTTTTGACTCCGTTACAGAGTTAGGAGACATAGCCAGAAGTTTTCGTTCCCTACGAGTCTCCTGATTCACAGCTTCAGAATTCAATGTCGTGCTCGTGCAGTCTTCATACTCCATCGAAGTCTGGTTGTATTCAGGATCCACTATGTCCAGCTTTTCACGCCAAACTTCTTCTTCAGGGTCGTAAACGTATCGAGAATCTTCACTTTCAATCTGAATTCCTTCAGGAGATAGAGTACTGGTGCTTTCAAGGTCACCTGGAAGTGTGTACTTCTTCTCAGTCGATGCCTTTATCAAGTCTTCCAACTCTTCTGTTTTCTTTTCAAACTCCTCTTCTTGGTTTTCTAGTAGATTTTCAAGGTCACCAACTTCTTTCTCGCGTTCGTCTACTTCTTTTTCCAGTTCTTCAAGTTTTTCTTCTAAAATCTCTTCACGTCCTTTTATTCCAGTTGTTGACGATCCTGGGGATCCAGTCATTTGTAGGATTGTACCATTGGAGGCTGTAATAGAAGCAGTGAGACTGACAGATGACGTGGATGCTACTGATGGTGTTGAAGCGATTGGAGAAGTAATTTGTTGTGAAGTTGACTTTGAAGATTGAGTAGAGCTTGGAGACGATACAGATGTTGCAACACTCTTGGAAGATTGGCTAGTTTCCAAAGACGCTGATGTCATTGCTGATGATGCAGCATTCTCTGATGTGCTCGAAGAGGATTTAGTGGCTTCAATTGTAGAAGACTCAGCATTTAAAGAGGATGAAGTCTCAGGTATAGATTTAGTTAAACTATCAGCATCTGTAGAAACTTCAGTTACTACGCCAGTCTCTGGAAATAATGATCCAGGAGCTTCGTTTGATGTTGAAGAAGTTAATTTTGAAGTCTCAGCTTGTTCTTCTGATGATTGACTAGTTTCCAGTGTTGAAGATTCAGCAGCATTAGCGGTTGAAGATACCAGTGTTTTAGTTTTAATCAGATGTTTAGGTTGTGGAGGAGCTTGAGTAACGAGATTCGTATGCGGGAACCGAAAGAAATTGCCTTTGTCTTTGGCCTTGCCTCTAGTTGTCGTTTCAATTTCATCAACAGCTGATGTAGCTTGCATGGTTGACAGTTCAGTTTCACTCTCAGTTGTAGACATTGAAGAATAGGTTGAAGACTCCGTCAACTGTTCTGCAGCGATTGATGTAGATTCTGCAGTTGTGGAAGATTCAGTCGCATTTGTAGCTTCAAGACTTGAAGATTGTGACGACTGTTCTACAGAGGATGATACAGATGTTGCAGCTGAAGACGATTCAATTGCAGTTGTAGTTGAAGATGTTGAAGATTGTGTTAACTGTTCTTCAGTAACTGATGTAAATTCTGCAGCTGTCGAAGATTCAATTACATTTGTTGTAGATGTTGAAGATATTGTTGACTGTTCTACAGGAAGAGATGTAGATTCTGTAACTGTCGACGATTCAGTGGCGCTGGTAGTCTCATAAGTTGGAGATGTCGACTGTCCTAAAGATGTTGATGAGAGTCCAGTCGATTCAAGTGAAGATGCTTCCGTAATTACTGAAGATTGAGGAGAAACAGTAGAACTTTCTTTACCACCAATTTCTTCCGACGTAGAAAATTCTGTTGAGCTTATTGCAGTTTCACTGATTGTAGAAGTTACCAAAGATTCACTAGTTGAAGTTGTCGGAACAACTGTTGAGACACTAGAACTCGAAGACACCGTAGATCCTGTTGTTGATGATTGAGCAATTGAAGTTAAAACCATTTCTGACGTAGACTCTGTCAAATTTTCACTAGTTTCACTCGTCTGCAATGAAGACGAACTAGGAGTATTTGTTGGCAATGTTGAGCTTGGTGACTCTTTTACAGATGCAGAACTTTCGTTGTTCGTGATCGATGATAAAAAATGCTCCGTTGTTGTTGATTTTCCAGTTTCCGTTGTCTGTTGAGTGACTGATGTTGTTCTTGACAAAACAAACTCTGTGCTGAAACTTGGAGACTCTGCTGTTGAAGTACTTCCTTCGGTAGCTGATATTTCTGTTTCAGTCAGCTGAGAAACAGTTTCCGTGTTAGGACTTGGCGACTCTCTTCTAGAAGTACTTTCTTCGGTTAGGAATGTTTCTGTTTCTGTCAGCTGAGTAGCAGTTTCAGGGCTGGGAATCGGAGGCTCTGTTCTTAGAGTACTTTCTTCGGTTGGTGATGTTTCCGTTTCCGTTAGCTGAGGAACAGTCTCTGTGCTGGGAGACTCTGTTTTCAAAGTATGACCTTCAGTTGGTGATGTTTCTCTTTCAGTCAGCTGTGAAACAGAAGCGGTTGTCACCTCTTCTTCTTCAGCTTTACTGATAATACTTTTAGTAGCTTCAATTGGTAGGACTGGAGTACTCAGTATATTTAACCTACCAATAGTCGTAGGTGGTCTTCTGGTAGGTTTAGTTGGTCTAGGTCTTGGAGGTGGTCTAGGAAAGAAGAGGTCCCAGAGGAATCCACATCGTTCTCTTTGGTCTTGCCAGGTTCGCATAAGCTGTCCTGCTTCGTCCTCTTCATAGACCAGCTTTCTTTCCTTATCAACTAGGTCTTTGATGAGTTTTTCCAGCTTTTCACTCTGTTTTAGAAGCTGTTCTTTAGAGATTTCACATCTACTTTTCGTTGTTGCTACGGTAGTCGAAGTTGTCATCAAAGTTGTGCTGGTCGTTTCGGTAGTGCTAGTTGTTTCAGGAGTCGTAGTCTCTGTTTCTGTTGTTTTGCTGGTTTCAGTCTCTGTGGCATTAGTCTCTAAAGTTGACTCAGTTGTCGTTGATTCTGTAGAAGATTCAGTATATGACATGCATTCAATGAATCCCGCAGTGTCATTTTCTTTGGTTAATCCAACGATTGCGTCAGTAGTAGAACTAATAGTACTAGCAGTAGTACTAGACATAGTAGTCCCTACCGTAGTCGGATTTGTTGGAGCTCCAGTCATGAGACCAATCTCCAACTCCAGCAAAATGGACGTCTCTGTTTCAAAAATAGCAGGATTAGTTTTCTTCATACTTGGAGTCCCTTCTGTAACTTCTAGCAAATTAGAATCTTCCGTCTCAACAGCCTCGTGACTCAAAATAGATGTTTTTAACCGCGACTTACTAGTTTCTGGAGCTAACTCTGTGTCAGGGTAGATCGTCAACATAGACACGGTAAGATCGTCCATGAACATCGGGGTCGTCTGCTCAGAGTTCAAGTCAGAGTGATCAGATTCTTTGTTTACGTCAAAGTCGGGCAGAGTGTACGCCAAATACTCCGTCGAAGGCTCATCTTCAATGAAGTTAGAAACTGCAGGCATACCGGGTAGGTTAAAGTCTCCTAAATCAGAGTCTCCTGTTTGGGTCAGATCCAGCATATAATAATCTGTTGGGTCTTTCTTTCCGAATCTTTTGTACCGTACACTACGTTCCGGTTTCTTTGAAGTCGTCTTTTTCGTCTCCTTTTCTTTTTCTTTCTCTTTCTCCTTTTCCTTTCTCGCTTTCACGGCTTTAGCCAACTCAAAAGGACCAGGAATTTTCTTACTCTTAAAATACTCAATAACACGTCCCGATCCTGAACTTTTAGCCTTACCACCCTTCTCTTCCTTCGTCTTTTCTTGTTTCATCTCTTCCTCCAGCATATCCATAGGATCTCCAATAGTGACAGTCGGGAATTCCGTACTGGGAGTGTACTTCATCTTCTCCTTCGCAACTTTCGCAAGCTCATGAATCCCAGGTATTTTAAACGGCGATAGCTTCCCTTTAACTTTATCCGTCTTATTCTTCTTGTTAGTCTCACTCTTCTTCAACAGATCAAAAGGATCTGGAATCGTTACATCGCAGATTTTCAAAATAGCCAAACCAAAAGGAATTTTATTTTCCTTTTTCTTTTCTTCCTTCTCTTTATCTTCTTCCTCCTCATCTTCTTCCACCGCCATCAGCCTTCTTCCAACTTTGACCACCTGGCCTTGACTTCCACTCAATTTCTTCTCGACTTTACCCTCCGGTGACCTTTTTTCCTTCTTTCCTTCCTCATAATCCTTCATCTCTTGCTCCTCTTCCTTGTCCAGCATCTCCAAGTACGTATTCAACAGTTCTCCATCATTCTGTTTCTCCTCAGCTTTCCTCTTAACCGAATTTTTAAGCTGTTCGACACCTGGTAAATTCAGCCTGATGCTCCATCTCTTATTGTCAGCGTTCCTAAGCTGGTTCTTTAACTTCAAACCCCAACGCCGTTCTTTTCCCAATTTCTTGAGGCTCTCGTCAATATTTCCAGCCTCCAGACTGACGAACCTCTCCCTACGACTAGGAACCTTCACCATGATGCCCTCTGCCGTCACGTTCTGAATCATTACAACCGGTAACAGCATTTCCAACAATTTCACATCATTAGTTCTCAAGAATCTGTAGGAACAGTTAGTTCTTCCACCAGCGTCCATTATTTCTTCAACACGAACATTTTGTATCACTGGACAGCTGGTAGATGTCTCAGGACTAAGCGTACTCGGCAATATCGAGTTGATTCCACCCAAAATCGCGTCTATACCCGTAGTAGCTTGCGTTGTAGAAGGAGCACCAGGAACAGATTTAGTACTACCACCTGAACTAGTTTCTTCAACCCGGTAGCAAGTGCAAGTCACCGTCTGCTCCAACGGATGTTTAACATCCGCTTCAACGTTCACGTAATCTTTACAGTCATCATCAGAAACTTGCCGCTTCCTCCTGGATTCCTTGCCCTTAACTTCACGCTTTTCCTGCTCCCTCAGCTGCTCGTTGATCTGCTGGACCGAATCCACCAGCTGCTGAAGTTGTCCATTCAGCGGTTCAATCGCCATTGCCAGTGACTTGGATCTAACTTCACCATTATCCACTCCATCCCTTGATGTACCTCCGTTCGCCGCATCATCCAACACCAGGGAGTTACGTCCCAGGCGATCCATCGCCTTGGAATACTTTTCTAAATAGTCCAGATTATCATGCCGATCAGAGTTAAAGTATCTCCGGAAGCTTTTGTCAAACTCTAACGGCTTTCGATTCATAGTCAGGTAGTGTTCCATCTGGTCCTTGTCTAGGTAGCCTTCGTCATAGCCCAGGTCTGAATATTGCCTGCGGATTGGTCCGTGATCTACCTTATCAACGTCATCCAGCAGCTGAACAGGCAACTGATTTACGTCCTGATCATCAGCATCGTCTAAAAGCTGGAGTGGATTCTGGTACTCCTCGTTCTCCAGGTCCTTCTTGGTCGGCCTGTGGACAAAAGATCTTCCAATGTCACCAACATCATGATGCAAATGAGCTTTGAAGCCCAAAATCGCCGATGTTGGGCTCATGCGCCTAACATCCCGATTTTTGACCTCTCGGAACGCTGGGTGGTTCCTCAGAACGTACAATTCTTTCGCCAGTGGGTAAAGTTGGTAGTCCTGTTTGGCTTTCGCCAGAGATTCATCCGCGAGTTGGTAGTCGTTGATGCGAGGCGCCATCTTAGGTCTAGAGTCGCTATTGGGGTTAAAGTACCAGGGATTCCCCTTTGCCAGGTTGCTTTCATTGTCGGTAAGGTCGTCGTAAGAATGAACAGGGTGTAATTTTGAGGATAGGACTGATCGTTTGGGTTTTGATACGGGTTTTTTTGTAACCTCCGCTCCTCTTATTACGAAAGCCGCACACAAGAGGCTAAAAAAGAGTTGACTTTTTAGATTTTTTTTTCAATTCAACTTACTGAGCATTGATTTGAATTTTATTGACGTACCTGTAAATTACGTAATATCGCATTTGCTTTTGTGATTAAACTCAGACTTCATAGTACACACACAAACTTTGTTTCGTAATTATTATCGGTGTAGAGAAACTGATTTTGGTCATTGATAATTTAAAAAAAAAAACACCAAATGTCATTATTTTTTTTTTTTTAATTAAATTCGGGTGGTTAAAAACGAGTATGTAGGTTGTATAGAAAATATATAAAGTTTTTATTAAAAACTGACACCTAATGGCAGCTTGTTTGACAAGTACTAAATTCAGTTGTTTATTTTTTTTTTTTTTGAATTATTCGGAAGAACTTCAGTAAGGTAAAGTACCCAGTACTTGAACACTTATGAAAATGGGACCAGTACTTGAACAGTCTTTTCAAATTGTTCTAATACAAAATCCGTATATTTATTACAAGTAATATGCGCATATTATAATTATTCAATGATACAGTAATTGATTTCTATATGTTTTTTCATTTATAAATCAAAACAATTATATTTTTGTTAAAACTTAAAAGTTGACATGCCGAGAATAGCCGAAAGATGCTATTTTTTTCATGAAAAAGATACTAAACCGTAAACCGAACAATCAATAAAAAAACGGTATATCATAATTTTAAGTAAAAAAAATTGTACCACCCAATGAAATAGTCTTTTCTAAATAATACATATTTTTTGCAAAGACATAAACTATAATTTTTATATTAAATTTAAGCGTCTAACTACACGTTCAAATTTTCAAAACGGTACCCAGAACTTGAACAAGCTGGGGCCGTATAGTTTTAAAAAGCACTCTAATCTCTAATAGGTTTATAGACTAGTAATCAGCATTGTGATTTGTATTAATTACTGTAAATTAAATAAGTTTTATAGCTAAAAATTAGTGTAGTTTAAAATTATTGAACGTATTGAATTGAGTTTTTTTGATTTATAATTGAAAATTTGCTTTGTCATTCACAAAAAATGCAATTAAAAAATTAAATACAAATATTTCTTATTTTTAAATGAACATATTAAATATTTATAATATTATTTTATAATATGTTACAATTCTTTTGATGTTTCAATGAAATGTTGAAAACTTTTGCTGTGCCTATTGCTATATATTTTATTTGTTCAACTACTGCTCCTTTCATAATATATCTTAAAAACGTTGTCAAAATAAAAATATTGAAGTACCTGCGTTATTTTGCACTGCAATCAATTAAAAATTGTTTATATTCTCATGAAAATCACTAATTTGAACTAATAATTACATCTTTATATGGGTGATTCTCTGTAAGGATGTTTTTTGCTGTCCCAGGCATTTTTTTATTAGAAAAATTGTTATTTTGTTACTAAAAAAAATTTATTACGAAAGTAAAAAAACATTTCTGTTTGGAGCTTTGAAAACTAAAATGAAATAAATTTTGGTTTTTTGCTATAAATTTGTAAACCACCGAAACATCAGTCCCCTGGGCTGTCCCATTCCCAAAATTAAAACTTTAAGATTAAATTTTAAGTTATTCGTCTATAATATATAATTTAGTCCATAATGTTCATAAACTTAATTAGTTAACTAACAATCTTCAATAAAAAATATCGAAAATTAATTTGTTTCATTAAATTCATTAAACCAAAGTTTGTCCCAGGCATTTTAAGATCAGTCCCCTGCCAGAAGTTCAAAGTCAAAAAAAAAAATCCAGCGTGTTATTTTACCTTTTGTAAGGTTTATAAGGACCTAACTAGCCTTGAGTTAATAACCATAGGGTTGTTAGTAGCGCTTTATCGGCATTTTATTTAGTGTCAAAGCACCGTTTGTGCTGGAAATATATGTCTGGGCCACTTTAAAACTCACTCCCCTGGCAACTATTTTTATTTATAATTTATTTATAAAATTGGATCCATAAGCCTTAATATTATTCTAATTAATGTAAACATTCATTGAGAACTTGAAAAGTTGAATGCATTGAAATAGTTTGCTTGATTTTTCTCAATTTGATAAAAAAAAAACAGTCCCCTGGCAAGCAGTCCCCTGTCATGTTATATGGCAAAAGATACACAAATATCGAAAAAGCAAAAATTAATTCGGCTGTTTATTTATTATAATTAAGCTGATAGTTTTGTAGCCCTTGTTAATTTTTTTTCTAATAAAATCAAAAATAATTTGGTCGGACAATTTTGTAGTTTTAAGACGTCCTTACAGAGAATCACCTATATATTAAAAGTAGGGTCGAATACGTTTTACTCTGAAACCTGTTCAACTACTGGGTATTTTACCTTATAAGCAAAATTTTTCATGTAAAAAATTATCTTAGAATAGAATAAATTAAAAAATTGTTATTTTAAAAATTAGAAATAAAAAAATTAGAAAAACGGTTCACCCTAAAGGCCATCCCTGCAACTTCCCGCTCATTATGTACTTAAACGCTTCAAACTACACATTACGTTTTTGAGCTCTTCGAGGCAATAACTTTTGAATGAATGAACCGATTTTCACGCGGTTGGCGGCAATCGACGCAGTTTTTGAAGCTCCATGAAAAATTTTCAAGTTTAAATCGATCGAGCCATGAATTTCGAAGTTATTACAAAAAAACACTTTTTTCGATTTTTTTCGACAACGATATCTCACGAACGCATCAACCAATTCTATCGTTTTTGGTGGCGATCGATGGGGGTTTTCAAGGTTAAGAGCTGATTAGTTTTTGAGACCGATCGGTTCAGCCAATTCGGAGATATTTAAAAAAATAAAAAAAAAACAACTTTTTTTTCCTTTTTTTTGCATTTTCTCGAAATCTACCGGTCCGAATCGGTTCAAATTTTCAGGAAATCTAAGTTTAGTGAAGCCCTTTCGAATGACACCAACCGCGATGAAATCGGTCAAGTTGTTCAAAAGTTACAAGAGGTTTACACACACACATACAGACGTACGGACATCATCGTAAAAATAGTCAGGGAAGCTTTCTGTGACCTTCAAACGTCGAGATCTGATGAAAACTCGATTTTTGTAAAACGGGGTGAAAACAATAACTTCCCGATTTTTAAAAATCTGAGATTTTTAGCGGGAAGTTAAAAATTAGAGGCTACGTAAATATGTCAATATTTATTACATAAATTAACATTTTTTTGTACAAAATATAAAACGGCTCGTCTTGTATTTAAAAAGCGTAATATACTGAAATAGTTAAGTTCGTATATATAAAATTAAATACAGTTTAGTAATTCCTTATAAATTACTAAATTCTTAATAATACAAATAAAAAAAACTTCGTGTCGGCTGGTAAATAAATAACGTGAATCAGTCTTCGGGTATATTGATCAATGTCTGACCAATTGACCCAAAATATTAGAATTAGGATTATATTGGCAGTCGTGAAAAAATATAAAACAATTTAATTTGGAATCATCACTGCGTGGTTCCAAGTCCGGAGTTTGTAAAAATGTCGAATTCCTCCCGCTGGCGGATAGCTTTACGTACATCGTTTATTGTAATTACATCTGGACACTTTAAATTATTCCTCTCCCAGGCCTTTGATAAGGAAGACCGCAGCAAGTTTTCCAGCAGACATTCAACAGCCTGAAAATAATCAATTACAAATTATTAACACCAAACTTCAACATTGAATCAAATTAAAAACGAGACAAGTGTGAATTTTTTAAATTAATCTTTCTTTACTCTTGTTATTGAGGAAATCACCGGATGTTGACTTTTATTTGAAATACTGAAAATACTCAATTTAATTTATCATTAATCTAAAATTGTTCTCAGACCTGAACTTTTTATTTATTTAGCGTTGTATTTAAAAAAAATTAATTTTAACTGACTTAGTCACAAAAAATTGCGGCTTTTCCCACTAGCAAATCTATTCTCGTTAACATAGAAAATTAAACTTGCAACGTTTCAAGATTTATAGTAAATATTTGAGTATTTTTGTTGTTTAATAATTAAAATCTGGATGGAACTGAACAAATTTTTTTAACATTAAATTAAACGCAAAAAAATAATATCTTTTATAGTTAATTTTAATTTTATAAAATAATATGGTCATTATTTACAAGTGGGATCAACCCATGCTGGGCTATGTTAGTATTTTTTATTTTTTTTTTTTATCAAATTGATCAATTTAATTAAATTTTCTTTTAATTGTTCGATTTTTTATATACTTTTCAAAAAAAAAAAAATATATTAAAAACATCAAAAAAATATAAAATATAAATTTTATCCAAATACATGAAATCCAATTTTTTTTCCAACTTTTAAAGGCAAAAAAGCTATCAAAATCTTTATTTTTTCTTTTCGCGACATTTTTTTTCATAAATACGCCGTGAAAACAAGCAGAATAAAAAAAAATTTTTAAATGTTAATTCTTTACCTAGTTATGGCAAAAAATGGGGTTGACCTCACTTGTAAATAATAACCAAAAATTTTTAGTAAGACTTAATATGAATTTGGCAACAATGTCGAACTAACAAATTTTCCGGGGATTCCCCGCAACCCTTATAATGCCATCAGCATTTTTAGCGCATGTGACGAAAGGTTAATTACAAATTATTTCAAGTTTCACCGTTATTCAGCCATAAAAAATATAAAAAAAAAATTTTTTTTCATGAAAAATTGAACAAATTCAAGAAAATGCGTGTTGTATTATACTTAACTTAAAAATTCTTAATGAATTTAAAAAAAATATTAAATTTTTTTTGTGATTTCAATTTTTTTTTCTAATTTTTTTAAATATTTAAACCAAAAAATTCGAAAAATTATCAAAAAGCTCCCAAAAGTTGAATTAAAAAATTAAATAATAAAAAAACGCTGGAGCTACACATCCAAAAAATGACACCACAAATTCCTACCTTAACAATAACGCGACTAGCAGCGGCATCTCTGACCCCCTCTTCAATCTCTTCCTCAGCGAAAGTGACCCCCACCTGTCGGGCAGTTTCGTTGACAAAGAAGTTCATCTTAGATTCTTCCTCGTTCATATCTAACCTCACAAATTCTCCCTTCTTTTCTTCAACCTTTCCCGACTCATCATCATCGTCATCATCATCATCACCTTCAATATCAATAACGTCAACTTGCTCCTTCTCCTCTCCCGACGACTTCATTTTTCTGATCCACTCGACCAGTTCCCTGGACTCGGTGCAAGTGTTAACCTCCTCTCTTTCTCCTTTCACCGAGTTCAACAGCGGCCTCATCACCGTAAAACCCTGGAACCTGCACCACATCAGAATTTCCTTAGTCGTCCAAATTTCCTCCTCTCTAGCCTTAAATTTCAGCATGTTCCTGATCTTTTTTGCACGATACCACTCAACAGACCTTTGCTTCCCAACATTGAACCCCAGGAACTCCTCGACAGTCTGGCAAACATACGGAAAACTCTTTTTGAATTCGATGTCTTGAGCTTCTGGAGTCACTATAGGCAGCCGTTTGGCCAAAAAACTGACCATTTTTTCCACATCTGTCTCCTTCAACTCCATTAAGGAGTCTCTTAACCTCAAAACGTGGTTAATATTTTTCTTTTTCTTCTCCACAAGCTTCATCCTCTTCCCCGTGACGATTTTAAGCGCCGGTTCGGTGTCAGGAACATTGAGCATAACGCTTTTCGCGGTATTTATGCTGATAGTAATACCATTTTTGCCATTAATATTCTTCTTGAGAATGCTGACCCCGTTACCGTTAATATTCTGCTTTTTTTCTTTGTTAAAGTTCAGAGGAATCTGCTTGTCATTGAACACCAGCACCTGCTTCACGGCACTCGCCATAGTTTCATGAATATCAGGAATTTTTATCTCCAACGGCTGACAGGCCGCCTTTGATGATATTAATAGATTCGTTTTATCACCGTTAACACATTTAGACTGGTTTCTTTTACCGAGTGATGAGATTTCCTGGCTCCTAACACTTCCTAGAGCTCCTGAGCCAGATTTCAGACGCCTGGAGGAATTATTTCTGCTATTAATATCCTTCATACTCTTGATTCCCGCGTGATTGATTGTCTTATTGAACTCTCCGATGCTATTAATATTAACATACCTATGTTCCAAGTAAATATTACTCATAACTTCCTTCCTCGTCAACGTCAACACCGTTTCATTATCACTGTCATCACCTGTATCATCACCGTTCTCATTAATATCAATTTCATTATCAGAGCTTGATTCTTCTGGCTCGTAATTGGGTGGCGAGTAGTTGATAGGGAAAATTTTTAATGCATAAATGGTTTCGGTAACATGGTCCAAGGTGAGATTGTGAACAAAAGCCCGAGGAAGATTTGACTTGTTCTTGAAGATCAGCGTCACATTCAATGAAAAATTTCCCCAGCCACGACGAACCAGGTTGAAGGGGGCGCGATCTACTTCTATGACGTCGCTTGGCTTGTAGCTAGGGTGCAGTTGGAAGATTACTTTAGAGATGTACTCTGAGATTTTGTCGTTGTCCTTCTCCCGGACGTACACTTGCCATTTGTGGGTGTATTTATCGTCGTTGCGGTCCATTGGAGGAATAGGAGTTGAGATGTTGCCGATTACGATCACTCGGGTTTCTCTAAAGCCATCACCGCGTTGGAACTCTGGTTCTGTGTTTGGGCAGAGTTTTTTTGCAAGATTCTCGATTTGTTCTTGGTTGTTCTTGCGCTTCAGAGGATTTGATGGCGGAATTTTAGCGGTTGATGAGGTTGGGGCTTGAAAAGGTTTGGTATTTAAGCCTGGGTGTTGGTATCTTTGATGAGAAAATGCTGGATGTTGATGATTTCGATGATTTTGACCTGGTCCTTGATGATTTTGACTTGGACTTTGATCATTTTTATGGTTAACACTTAAAGTGTGTTGATTTTGACTTGGACCTTGATGATTTTGACTTGGAACTTGATGATTCTGATGATTAGCACTCAAGGCTTGATGATTCTGACCTGGACCATGATGATTCTGGTGATTAGCACTTATAGTTTGATGATTCCGACTTGGAGCTTGATGATTCTGATGATTACCACTCAAGGATTGATGATTTTCACTTGGAACTTGATGATTTGAGCCTATTCTATTAATACTCTGACCCAAGTTCTGAGAATCTTGATGACTAGGACCCGGAACGCCATTTTGTGAGCTCAGCGGCTCAGTGCCGGATGTCGACGCTCCAGAATCACTTTTAGCGCTCAAACCATCGGTTCCTCGGTTTCTCAGGTTCCTGGGAGCCTTTCCCACGATTTGTTTTATCGCAGGGTGGATTCTGGCTTGCTTTGAGTCACTGTTTGCACCTCCCTGGCATTCTTTCCGGTTATAGAACTCGGAAATAATTGCGTACCGCAACAAACTGAGCGTTCTGATCGCCTCGTGCAACCGGTCGTTGATGAGCAAAATTTCTTTCTCTTTTTCGTTAATTGATCTGTCGAACTCACGCTCGATTATTGTGTTGATTCGTTTTGTCTTGTTAATAAGAGCTGAAATAATAAATTAATTTATTAATTGCCGGCTTATGAAATTGTAATTATTTTTTCAATTTAATTTTTAGGTGGTAGTTTGATTTTAGAGGTACTTGGTCGTCGCTTTACTATAGATCATAAATTTTAAATTAATTGCAAAATATAAGTAATATCTTTGAATTTTTTTTTTTAATTTTTGGTAATTTAAAAAACAATTAGCAACCTTGCAGTCACTATATGACTGTCGTGACTTGTGAACTATAAGTAAATAAAATTTTGCTTTATTAAATAATGACTTTTGTTAAAATTCACTGTAATATTTTCGTAATTATTGACGTTCTTAAAGATATAAGCTAATCCCGATGTTACACTCATCAAGAGCTTTCATTTGAGTACCCACATGCATTTTGATATATTTTTCATATATAAATATATATAATATATATAAATATATTAAAAATTGATGTGGGTACTCAAATGAAAGGTCTTGATGAGTGTTATGTCGGGGTGAACTTATATTTTTAAAAATATCATCAGTAGAGAAGGTACAATGTAATTTCTTAATTAATGACATTTTTTAAGATATAAACTTATTTCGATGTTACATTCATCGAGACCTTTCATTTAAGTACTCACATGACATTTTTTTATATACTTTTTATATATGGTATTTGTAAAATATATAAATATATAAAAAGATATGAAAAATTGATGTGGGTACTCAAATTAAAGGTCTCGATGAGAGTGTAATGTCGGGGTGAGCTTATATTTCTAAAAATGTCAATAATTCACAAGATACGTCATTTCTTAATTATGTATCTAAAGATAGAGCATTTTCGAATGCAGCCTAAATATTTATCATAATAAATTGACTATCGTTGAAAATAATATGAAACCTTGAAAAGGCACAAATTCAAGTCAACACCTTTGCAATCCTAATATAAAATTGAGATGAAATGTATGTGACATCAAACTATTCGTAACGTGATTGGTTGAATATATCATAAGCATGAAAATATATGCAAACTCTATAGTCAAAGCGCGCGCTTGCGCGCGTAAATTCAAATTCTAGTGACACTAAATTTCACTACAAAACCGATTTTATCATATGACTATCCTGGAGACAAATTTTTTCTTATTCTCTTAATAATATAGATAAAAAAATTCAAGAAAAATATTTTATCTACTTTTTTTTACGCACTTGGAAGATTAAAACAAAAATGATTTTTAAGTAAATTTTTCTGAAAAAAATTTTTGATTGATTCAATGACTTTGAACTTCCTTAATAACTTCCTCTTTCAAACAAATAATAATTTTTTTAGCTCCTTAATCATTGAAATTTAAAAATTCATTTAATATAAAATATTATCAATTGATTAATCATCAGAATTATGAAAATAAGTAAATATTAAAAAAAAAATAAAAACTTCATAAAACAATAATTAATTTTTGATAAAAATTTTAGTCTTAAATTCTTTGTAAAAAAAATATTTATCCAAATTATTAATTCTTAGATTAATTACTAAAAAACATAGTTAAAAAAATTAAGTAAAAATTGGAGACTTATTTTACCAGTCATTTTAAATAAATCTTGCTCTTTGACTTAAAAAATACTTTTGAGAAAAAAGTGTTTAAAGTTTTTCGGCTTCAGTAACATTGAAGTTCAACACGCTCCGATTAAGCTTCACGAATATCCGTATAATTTTTAAAATACTTGTCTGATTTACATTTGAATTCTTTGTGTATATACTTAAATATATCTATATTAAAAAAATAAAATCAAAAAAGTTAAATTTTGTTTTTTTAATTTAAATACTTATGACCTCTTAAAATTAAAAAAAGTTTGGAAAATCCAAAAGTGCACGCCTCATAATCTCATTTTTTAAAATAAAATTGATTAAAATAAAATATAAAAAGCAAAATAATAAAAAACAGAAAACACTTCTATGGTTTAGTGGCGCCATAATTGCAAGGTGAGGAAAAAAAATACTATAATAAAATGTATAGATAGAAATCCAAAAAAATCCACAGTCATATATTAGTTTTTTATAATTAATAATTTAACGACAGTGAATTGAACGCTCATATTAACTAAGAAATTCTGTCGTGTGTTACTTTAGATAATTAAAAAAAAATTATTCCGGTACGATCATTTTTTCGACCAATTTCCCTGCCACATACACCCATTCATACACGGACGTCCAAAAAAGATTATGTTTAATGTTATTATTTATTATGTTAAACAAAAAAATTGTTATTGAAATATATTTTATGTGCCTGAAAAATTATTTGACTTGACATAAGTGTACTCATTTTAACCTGTAAGTGCGATATAAATAACAAAAAATCAATTTCAGTTTCGAGAAAACTGCTTTTTTCGAAATGTCGAGAGTAGAGCACAACCTCAACGCTTCGCTTATGAGGCGTGCAAAAAAATAATCTAAAGCTGAATTTTTCTTTTAAAAAAAAATAAATTTATGATACTCGAATCTGCTAACATCTGACAATTTTTTTAACAAAAAAAAATTGCACTTGTAATTTTTTAAATTTCTAGATTTAGAATTTTTTCATTAAAATTTTTTTATAATTAAGTAGTTATAAAAATCCAAAAAATTCACAGCTGTCTATTAATTTCAGTGTCATAAAAATTAAAGAATCAATCTAAAAAATTACCAGCTTCTTCAAAAGTTTTCTGCTGACGACTCGGTCCTGCGATAGCATAATCTGGATCCTGGACATTGTCCTTTAATGTACTCATTTAAGACCTAAAAAAAAAAAAGTAATTATTCATGAGGTAAAACTTAGAGATCAATACTAAGCATTAAAATTCAAAACTTGCAATAAAAACTGCTAATTAATTAAATTAAATGTGAATTGTAATAAAAAACAAAATTTGTAGTTAATAAAAAAAAAAATGATTGTTGACACCAATTGTTTAAATTTTAACATAAATGAGTATTAAAAAAAAAAAAAACAATTGACATACGGAGGTTATGACTCACGTGTTTATTTTTCAGGCACTTGCTTTTGGAGCTGGTGGAGGCTAATTGGCTGACCTCTATTCCGGACACTGGAACAGTCTTCTGTAGGTCGGAACTTCTGGAAGTCACTTTTGAGATTGGCATTGAATGAATAATTTGTTTATGCTGACGCTAAATTGGCGATGCACGGTGCACTTGTTGCCATAACTTTTGTCACATGGACGCGGCTTCGATGAATATCCAGTGAGGTGGTACAAATTGGAAGTCTACTTTGCCGGCGGTGAAAAAGTTGGCGAGACTGCGGAGGTGTTGAAACGTCACAAGGTGAGTGATATAACCTTCCGTTACTCCACAAGCGTCACATAAAAAAAAAAAAATATATAGTTTAAAAAAATAATAAAAATTAATTTAGCAGATATTTTATAATCCGAACAAAAACAGTTTCACTGTAAAAAAATCGCGCCAAGTCCACGTTCATAAGACTATTAAGAAAAAAATTTTGTTTTCTTTACAAAAAGGTATAAAATAAAAAAATTAAAAAATCCGAGTAACCGATATGATTGTATATGATTTTCCGAAATTAGAAAGAATTTTGTTGTAAATTTAAAAATTAAAAAAAAAATTTTGGAACGTATTTAGTGTGCGTGGTTGCAAAATATTTTACTTTTAATGAAATTCGTGAATTTTATTTACTAGGACTTTATAAAAATTGAAATACACAATGACGCATACCAAGTACGTTCCAAAATTTTTTTTTTTAATTTTTAAATTTACAACAAAATTTTTTCTAATTTCGGAAAATCATATACAATCATATTGGTTACTTGGATTTTTTAATTTTTTTTATTTTATATCTTTTTGTAAATAAAAAACTAATTTTTTTTTCTTAATAGTCTTTATGAACGTGGACTTGGCGCGATTTTTTTAGAGTGAAACTGTTTTTGTTCGGATTTTAGTATTTTTTTTAATTATAATAAAAATTTACAATTGATACCAACTTAAATCTCGCGTTGGGTGCATTTTTTTTATAGCAAACTATTCCCTTGAGGCTACAGTTTATGTAAAAATAATTCTAGCGCACCCTGGCGGGTGTAGATGCAAGTTGTGAAATATCTTTTTTTAACTGTAGTTTCTCATCTAATGAAGGATTACTATGCATTTTCGAATTATTTAGTCTGTGGCAGATCACTTTGCCCATCGAAAAAAAGTCAGGATCGAAATTTTTGCGTTGCTATAGTTTGTGCTGATTAAATTTATTAATTTCAAGTAGATTAATTGTTATATGTGAATATAATTAATTAATAACAGTAAATTAAAGTATGAATTACTGTTATAATATACAATTTAGGAAAAAAAAGTACCGTAGTATTAAATAAAATTTTGCAACCTCAAAATACCGTTCTGCTTACAGTAAACACAGTCGGTAGTCTGGCGCTCCGTTGACAACGGACTTGAACGGAACTTGGCGCCAGATTCTACCGAATCTGTGGATTTTAAGAATTTTTTTAACAAATAAATTATGTCAAAGAAAATAAGAAAAAAAAGTTGACATTTATAAAATTAGAAAAATAAAAAATCCAATTTATTAGAAATAATTTTTCGGAGCAAATTTATTTATTAAAGAAAATTAAAAAATTGTCAAGCGACTGCTAACTTTAATGTCATAAAAAAATGATACTAAAGTTAGCCGACATTTTTAATTTTGCACGCCTCATAGCGCGAAGCGCGTGAGGTTGTGCTTTATACTCGACTCGTTAAGATCAAGCAATTTTGTGATCTTTAAATGCCTCTATCACAACTATATTACACTTATACAATGATATAAATAGATGTACACCGAAAAAAACACTTAAATTAAACCATCTGTTACTTTCTAAAATCATTTCATGTTGCTATTTTGAAAAAAAAAACGTTTTGAAAAAAATTTTACGTAGACGTCCGGATGTCACCCCATTTTGGATGTACCAACGATTACTCCCGAACAAATTGATATTTCAAAGCCGGATCTTTTTTATTAGTTTAAGAATTCGATGAACTGGGTCCGTATTTCATATCAGTGGCCTAGTTTACGTATTTTTTTTTTAAATTGAATTTTTATTAAAATTTACTACGATACAACCGTACAAAGCTAAACGAACTTTCCTTATTTGTCACGTGGAAACTATGGCGCCACTTGATCAAGCTAGATTTTTTTAGACTGCGTGCGCGCATGACAAGAAGAAAGGGCGCCGATATTTAAAAAAAAATAAAAACTACTCTGTATGAAATTACTTAATTATAATTTTTTTTTTTTTTTTTTTTAATTAATTACACAATTAATTTTTTTCTTAAAAAATGAATGAGCGCTATGAGGCGTGCACTTTTGGATTTTCCAAACTTTTTTTATTTTTTTTTAATAATTAAATTAAAACAAAAAAACATTTTTAAAAAATTGCGCTTACAGTTTTTAAAGTTTTTTACAAGTGAAAATTTTTTTTGTAATATTTTTTCAATAAAAAAAATTCTAAAAATTTTTAAATGTCGGCTCACTTAATTTTCATTTAAAAAAACTAAAAAACACGGTTTTTATAGAAAACCAAACTAAAAAATAGAAAGTAAATTTTAATTAACAATAGTGTAAAAAATTTTAATAAATATAAATTAATAATAGTGTAAATAAGAAAAAAATGTATTTTTTAATGAAGATATTATCGAAATAATATTTCTTCTCATTACCAATTAAATTCCAACATTAAATTAAACTCGAAAAAATAATATTTTTTATTGTTCTTTTTAATTGAATAGAACAATATTTAGTAGACTTAATCATTTTTCAATATCAATTAATTCATTAATCGTCTATTACACTTACTATTAAAGGCATCCCCGGAATGTTAACTTTAATTTACAATATTAAAAAAACTATCAGAATTATTGTTGCTACTTATTTTCTAATTAATTTATTATTAATCTAAAAATGTTCTAAGATTTGGAATTTTTATTTATTTAGCGTTATATTTTTAAAAAATTAATTTTAACTGTCTTAGTCATTAGAAATTGCAGCTTTTCCCCGCTAGCGAGTCTATTTTTTATATTTTTTATACTACTTCAATTAAACTTGCAATGTTTCAAGATTAATAGTAAATATTTACGTATTTTAGTTGTTTAATATTTAAAATGGAATTAAAAAATTTTTCCAACATTAAATTAAACTCGAAAAAATAATAGCTGTTATTGTTAATTTTAATTTGATTAAATAATATTTTATCAAAGAATTGAAATGGATTCCTTAACTCTCGCTGTTGAAGAAATCCTCGCCAGGTGTCTTTTATTTAATAATATTGAAAAACTATCAGAATTGTTGTTGCTAATTATTTTCGAAGTCATTTATCATTAATTTAAAAATGTTCTCAGATCTGAACTTTTTATTTATTTAGCGTTATATTATATTTTTAAAAATTAATTTTGAGTCACAAGAAATTCCGGATTTTTCTCGCTAGTCGGGAAACTGTCATACTGACATATTTTATCTTGCAATTAACTTTTAAATTCCGTATATCCGAATCAGAAAAATAAAATTTTATATAATATAGTCATCTAAAATATATATACTACAAAATGCATCAAAGAAATAAGATAGTCGGCAGACAAAGTTAATAACTTGTAACCGATGATTCGGATTCGTGAGAATTTACTGTACGGTCATGAATAAATTATATCACGTTTTTTAATTAGTTATCAATTATTGATAATCGATAATTATATATAACTGGCTAATGATTGATCCAGAATGTGTTATCTTTCTATCAGTAACTTGTTAATTGTCACTATTTCTTCTTTTCCGTTTCTTCTAACAGGAAGAGTATATATATATATATATATATATATATATATATATATATATATA